TAAAATATAAGCTGACATATGGAATTACAATACTAAAGAGTGAGTAATAATAAAATTCATGATGCTGATGATGATGATATAAATTGGAATTGTTGATGATGATGATAATAAAGACAAAAATTAAGTAAACATAAATATCTTGAAATTGAAAATGAACAAATGAGGCACCTTAAAATTTCAATTGAATTTAAAATTAAAGCGGCAGTGGAAATTTCTGGGCTATATAACGAGAAAAGAGGCCTTGGAGAATCTGGTACATTTTGAAGGCAATAAGATAAGAAGGAAACAGAGTACCTTACCTAGTAACCTTGTGTATTTGGATGTTGATTGATTTCTCTGTTTAACGGCATATCAACACCTTATTTAATACGAAATTTTTCTTGGGGGCTTTGAAGTAATAAAAATATGATACATGTTATTCTGCTTTCACAGTTGAATACATGGTAGATGATACTCAGCTTTTGTGCATATAGATGTTTGTGTGGACATAATTACTAGAGGCCGTGATATGTGTGTGTTTTATATTGCAGTTTTGCTGAAGTTATATTTTGGAATACAGTTTGATTTCTTTAAGAATTTGTAGAAGCAAACTCGGAAGTTCAAATATCCTCGAAGATTTCCCACAGAGGATGGTATATGCGACAATGAGATCCCTAGACGTATTGGGATGGCCAAGGACGCATTCCAAAAGCTGGGTAGAGTATTGCGAGACAGGAGGATTTCTTTGGTAACGAAGAAAAGAACACTGAGCTGCTTTTATGTCTCCATTATTTCCGTTTAACTCACCTCTCCAAGTCTGCTGTGGCCTGGTATTGAACTCATAACTCTTTGGGTCTGGTCACTGGTAGGACTTCTAATTCTCTCAGAATTGCCTCACTGTATATTAAATAAGTCCGGTGATTATTTATCCTGTTTAACATAAGCCCCATGCGAGTTCTGTCATATTGAAAAAAAATCACAGGTGCACACTTTGATTTTAGACAATACCGGTGCACTCATTCACCCGACTCTCACTTGTCATTATTGATTGATTGATTGATTTGTTTAATGGTATATCAATTATTTATGGGTCAATGCTGAAATTTAATTTTCTTGGGAGCTTTGAAGTAATAAAAATACATGTTATTCTGCTTTCACAATTGAATACATGGTAGATGATACTCCGCTTTTGTGCATATACATATTTGTGTAGACATAATTACTAGAGGCCATAATATGTGTATTTTACATTGTAGTTTTGATTTTAGAAATTCTAGGATATTCTATAGATTAATGTCATGAAAGAGTTCTTTCATGTTGATTGTTCGGTAGTATTTTAAATGGATTTGGCTACAAATGCTACAATTTCTTAGGATGTGTTTTATTGTGTATAGTTCTTGGCATTCCATACATATTGTAAGTAGTTCCTATTTCAGAATAAAAGAATGTGTTATCATGGAGTGTCCGATATGAAATCTGGACATTATTACTTCGTCTTTCCTTGTTTTAGTGTTTGATGCCATTCTTAGATAGTAGGCTTGATGTTGCATAATTTGTCGTTTCATGCCTTCAACTACAGATAAAATGTATTGCTGGTCATTTAGTCATGAAATGTATTGTTGGTAATTCTACTATAAATATATAATGTTGAAAATTTTTTTATATAAAAATATATTGTTGGTATTTTTCTATAAAAATGTATTTTTATACGTACTTTTGTTTTGTGTGGGGCTTCACTATTTTCCCATAGCTGGGACCCTAACAGGTACTACCACCCTGAATCAGGTGGATGTGGGAAGAACAGCAATTAAGAGGCGGTTTCACGCTCCTCAAAACCTCTAATCTCCCGATCAGAGGGCTTGCTGTGCCAGATGTTGTTGCTTTTGTCAGATCAGGGAGCGGTATGTATTGCAAAGGTAACATATATTACTTTGAGTTACAAAGGGAAGGAAGTTGTGGAAAGCAAAGTTCACCCACATCCTGAAGTAATAAAGCATAAAGAATAAGAAGATTCCAAATCGATAAAATCAAAATGGCATAGAAAATGCCATTCAAAAGGAATTACTGATAAAATGACATGGTTACGCAGAGAATCTGTGTCCTGATTAATAGTAGTCCAGAAATAAGTCCTCCTGGGAATGACGATAAACTACGTCCAACAGTAAGGCCTTTGATCAGGAGGCATTGAGGAGCGTGGAACTACCTCTTAATTGCTAGTGTTCCCAAGTCCACCCGGACCCGGAGTAGTAGCACCTATTAGGGTCCCAGCTATGGGCAAATAGTTAATCCCCAAACTGGTGTCAAAACACTATGAAAATGTAAAAATAGGTTTTAATACCAGAAATACTTTGTAAAAATTATTACCAGCAATAATTTTTTTCAGAAAAATTATTAACAGCAATAGATTATTACCAGCAATACATTTTTAAAAAAAAAAAAAAAAAAATAGAATAAAATTACCAACTATACATGTTTGAAAAAAATAAATAAATTACTAGCTATACATTAAAAAAAAATTACCAGCAATAATTTTTTGGAAACAAAAAAAAAAAAAAAAATACTAGCAATAAAAATCTTGTCGGCATTAAATAACCCATTGAGGTTGATATGCCGTAAAACAAAACAAACCAAACCAAACCAGAAATAAGTATATTAATTCCAGAACTGCAAAACCTTTCAGCAAAGAATTGAAAGGTGAAATATCAACACGACGAGAAAGAAAAACAGAAAAAAAAAACAGCAATCCTGTTTATATAATACTGGGTTCTTCTTGCATTTTTTAATCATTTCACGGTAAGGGTTACTGGGAATAGAAGAAAATGAGAACACTTTCGCCAGGAGAAAGGAAAATAAAAGAACAAACTTCAGGAAGATATAAGATGACGATCGATGTTGCTTTCATATTTTTGAAGAACGCAGGTGGCACAGAACCAGAAAAAAAATGAATGAGTGTTCTGCAGGTGAGAAGCATAAGAGAAAAAAACTATTCGAGTAATACTTACAGATACACCTAGCTATTTTAATAGTAAAACAATGGAACTTTGTAGGTAATCTAGTACCACGTTTAAATTCATTTGATACTAAAGTATTTACAAAAAAAAGACAGAGGGAAGTAACGTCACTGCCGTGTTAAAGTCACTGATGCCAGGTGAGGACAAATAAGATTACAGACCCTTCTTTAGATTTTGTTGACAATCTTGAGACATAGCCGGGGCATCTGGATTAAAACTGGCCCTCTCTCGGGGTAGATAGGTAAAACAAGGAAGATTTTCACTACTATTTCCCGCTTCTTTCATAACATATTATTGGGCCAGATCTTTCATTCGGCTAGCGAGAATCCCGACTGTCCCTCTATTTATATTTGCAACTGTCACGCTAGCTACCCCTCTCTATATATCGACGGACGGCTTCTAACTGATCTCTTATTCCGGCTGTGGCTCTATAAGTCAACGTCGACACGCATTCCTCACCTCCCAACCATAGTATTAGATCCCGAATTGATTGATTTATTTATATAATTAATTTCTTTTTCTCAACTTTTGGGCAGCGGATGAAACCACTGAAGCCCTCACGGATTCATATTTACTGTTGGTAGTCATAAAACTGCCGGCTTTTCAGGCCCAAATAAAAACATTTTCTATCCACTTGACGATGTGGGAATCGAAAGCCAATCGAGCGGGATCTATTGCGTCACAAACCTTCGTTAGCCGTTTCGCCGCAGAGCAATGGTTGGATAAAAATGCAGATAAGAAAGACAGAAATGAAAGAGAAAATCAAAACGGAAAAAAGGGACAACATTACAAGAAAGAAAGAAAGAAATACGGAAAGACAAACAGAAAGAAAGAAAGGCATTAATTTTAAAAAGAAGAATGAGAGAAGGAAATGAACCTAAAGAAAGAAGAAAAGCAAATGAAAGAAATGAAGAAATGAAAATATCAGAGAAAAGAAAAAGTAAGAAAGGAAAAATGAAAAGAAGGAAGAAATAAAATGAAAGAAAAAAACTAAGAAAGCAAAAAGAAAGAAAGGAAAGAACGTAAGAAATGAACTGAAAGCAAAAAGAAAGAAAGCAAAAAGAAAGAAAGCAAAAAGAAAGAAAGGAAAGAACGTAAGAAATGAACTGAAAGCAAAAAGAAAGAAAGCAAAAAGAAAGAAAGCAAAAAGAAAGAAAGGAAAGAACGTAAGAAATGAACTGAAAGCAAAAACTAAGAAAGCAAAAAGAAAGAAATGAAAGAACGTAAGAAATGAACTGAAAGCAAAAAGAAAGAAAGCAAAAAGAAAGAAAGCAAAAAGAAAGAAAGGAAAGAACGTAAGAAAGGAAGGAAAGACGAAAGGAAAGACAGAGGGAAAAAATAAAAAAATAAGAAAGAAATGATTCGCTGTGGAGCAATGGTTGAATGAAAAGGCAAATAAGAAAGACGGAAATGAAAGAGAAAATAAAAAAGGAAAATAGTACAAAATTACAAGAAAAAAAAGACGGAAAGAAGAATGAGATTAGGAAATGAACCGAAAAAAATAAAAAAGAATGAAAGAAAGGAAGAAAAGAAAATAACATAGAAAAGAAAATGTAAAAGAGAAAAAAAATGAAAAGAAAGATGAAATAAACTGAAAGAGAAAAAAATAAGAAAGAAAGAAAGAAAGAAAGACAAAAAAGGAAGGAAAAGATTGGGAAAGAGAAAGTAAGAAATGAACAGAAAAGAAAAAAAAGAAAGAAACAGAGAATAGAAGAAAGGAAGAAATGAAGGAAAGAAGAAATGTAAAACAGAGAAAGAAAGAAAAAAATTAAGAAAAAAGAAATTGATTAACTGATTCATTTTCTACGGTTTATCAACCCTTTGCAAGTTATTTAAAGCCAGATAGTAATGGTTTTGTGATAAAAATCTAGTGATACATAAGCGAAGTCATGCTTTTCCAAACGGTATTAGCACGTAAGTGAATACAACGAACCCAATGGGATATTGAACTCGGCTCTCGGATTAAAAAAATTCGAGCCATTATCCATTACATCACCCTCACATCTAAGTTTACAGCACTTGGTATTGCCAAGCGGTTACCCATCTAGGTACTGACCAGGATCAACGTTGCTTAACATCGGTGATCGTACGGGAGCCGGTATTTCAAATGGGATGAAGCTGTAAGCCAAAGCAGAAGAAAGAAAGGAAAAATGAACTGAACGAAAAAAAGAAAGGGGGGAAAAATAAAGAAAGAAATGAAAAAGGAAATAAAAGAAATTAAATAAAAGAAAGAAAAACTTAAAAGAAAAATAGAAAGGTAAAAAAAAGAAAAGGAAAAAGAAAGAAAAGGAAAAAGAAAGAAAAGGAGAAAGAAAGAGAGAAAGAAAGATAAAGAGTAGCGGTAAAAATGATAAGAGAAAGAAATTGATAAAAAAAAGAAAAGAGAACAAATAAATATTAGGGAAGAAAAAAATCAATGAATAAACTTCTCTCTATTTATCATCTGCTTCCGCGTCATGGCGTCGCCATTACATTTTCTCCACACCTAATATTCTTTTACGAGTTTTCTGTTCATATTTGATTTTAAAAAAATTCTTTTGGAATGGTCGTTTTGCAAACCCGTTGCTTCCTATCATTTAGCAATGGGTTGCCCCAGGTACGACAGTCTGGACTGGTGTGTGGCTCTCATACAATGGTTTGATAAACAATGGGTTCAACCATGTCACTGTCAACCACACTCAGAGCTTAACGGATCCCAACACTGGAGTCACCATGAATCAAGTTGAAGCAATATGGCAGCGTGTCCAGGCTAAATGAATGGCCCCACCAACAGGGGATGATTTCTGAATACCTGGCAGAATTTATGTGGGCTCAAAGGTTTGGTGATTCGCGTTTATTTAACTTCTGGCATCCAATTGCCACGGAACTTTATCCATTGTCGCGAAAAAAACAATGTCGAAGGTGGGTTCGAAATTCTAACAGCGCCTCTGATGCTAACCTCCTAGAAAGTGACCGGTTGCGCCTTCTTGAGCTATCTTTCTTTGCTGATAAGAAGTAAAAAGACTATATTGAATCCATTGCTAGCTCAGCTGCTAAGAAAGTTGATTCACTGTGTCGAGCGAGACATTTTTTCTCTCCAGAATCTATCTTACATATCTACAAGTCTACCATTCATCCATACTTAGAACAATAAAGCCAAGTATGGTCCGGTGCCCTTGTTAATAACCTTGAGCTCCTTGATAAAATCCAAATAAGAATCTGCAATATTATCGATCCTGACCTGGCGGCTCGGCTTCAGTCCCTTCCCACCGCCGTAAGGTTACCTCTCTGTGTCTTTTCTATAAATACTTTCATGGTAATTGTTCGGATGAGCTCTTCGCTATATTTTTGTATTCATATTGTAATATTCATTGGGGTTAACTTTTAGAATTTTTGTTTTATTCCTCTCCCCGCCCCAGACATCGAATTGTAAATATGGGGACTAGTTAGTATTTTCATAGAGTCAAAGAGGTATTATGGTGGTTGTAGTAAGAAAGGTACGAATGAATGTGTTGTTTTGGTGTAAGGAATATTGTTTCGTAAGATTGGGTCAGTGCTTGCGGCTAGCTAAGTTATAGTTAAGACAGAAGAAGACCGTCCTTTCCCCGAATCCCTTTTTCGGCCTTGTGCCACATTTCTTTAGAAAACAGAATAAATATCGCTCTTCGCTATATTTTTGTTTTTTCAGTTTCTTCATTCCAGTTAACTTAGCTAGGGGATGTAAGCTCATTGGCCCCTTTTATTTCTGTCCCTATTTTTCTTTAGTTTAATTCCCCATCCCCTCCCTCTTTATTTGGTCAATGATGTCAGTTCTCTGGTGGATGCGGGGCGCCTTTCGTTTCGGGTGTGATTTTCGTATTTGTTGTTGTGTTTGAATGAGTGTGTGTTTGAGTGAGTGTACGGAATGAATGAATGTTTTATTATTATTATTATTATTATTAAAGTCCTGCATTGATTTCGTCCAGTTAACTGATGTTTCTGCCACATTTAAGAATTTTTTTTTTTTTGGAGGGGGGGTTATTACTAACATTATTTTATTTGGCTTCTTGTAAATAATTTTCATTTTGTGAATACTCATTGGGGCTAGTTTTAAATTGTTGTTTTATTCCCCTCCCCCCACACCACAGACAATGAATTGTACATATGGAGACTAGTTAGGATTTTCATAGAGACAAGTGGTATTATGGTGAATGTAGAAAGAAAGGTAAGTAAGAATGTGTTGTTTTGGTGTTAGGATTATTGATTGTATGTTTGGGTCAGTGTTTGTGGCTACCTAAGTTTAACGTTAAGACAGAAGACCGTTCTTTTCCTCCATTCCCCATTTTGGCCTTATGTCACATTTTCTGTACATAGCAGAAATAAGTATCTCTCTTCGCTAAGGTACATGGACTTTAAAAAAAAATTTAGCGTAGTACTACACTGGCGTCGAGATCTCAGCAATTTACAGCTAGATGTAACCGTAATTTCTATGCTAATAGTTTCTTTTCTCGCACATCTCGCTTGTCGAACTCCTTTCCAGCTCCATGCTTTCCTGCTAACTTTAATCTGCAAAAATCTAAATGCAATGTAAATCGCTATCTACTGTAACTCCTTGTGTCTTAGTGACTTTAAAACCGATGAAAAAAAAAATTAAAATAAGAAAAACAAATTAAAACTGAAGAAAAGGGAAATAAAATGTAAGAAAGGATAAGGAAAAGAGGAAGAAAATCAAAAAAGAAAAAGAAAACAAAAGAAAGAAAGAAAGAAAGAACGAAAGAAAGAAAGAACGAAAGGATGGAAGGAAGGAAGAAAGAAAGAAAGAACGAAAGAAAGAAAGAAAGAAAGAAAGAAAGAAAGAAAGAAAGAAATGATTGCACGTGACAAATAAAATAACTGAGCAGCCATGTTGTTCCTTGATTTTAATAACCCTAACCGGCTGGAGCAACAGTCCAACCTCCACATTACCGAACCACTATCCTCACCGCCATCCCCATGAACTTCACCATCACCACTAGGCCACCTCATCAACAGCATTAATACTCCATCACCATCATCACCCACAACCTTACCATCGATAGAAGTAACCATCTACTACCACTCCCAATATGACATTAGACCTCGGGCCAAGAAGCTTCTCTTTAAAATCCCCCACCAATTTAAATGCCCAACGCTAACAGATGACAGCCCTTGTTCCCAGCCCAGCTCCAGCCAGAACAAACTAGTCAATACCTTAGAGAGGCGGTAATTGTGTCCATATCGTTTTTTGTCATTTGTCTTGCGGTGTCACAATAAAAGGTTACAAGTTAACTGTGAAGTACCCACTCCCAACTCTCTTTCTATCAATATCTCTCCTTCCCTGTCTCTTTGCATAACTTCATTGTCCCCTCTCTTTCTATGTTTCGTCTCTGTCTTTCTCTTTTTATTGAGATTGTTCATTATCTCCTCTCCCTTTTATCCATGCTTTTTCTTTTTCTTTTCTCATTATTTTTCAATAATCTTTACAGTTTTCTCTCTTTTTACTTTTATATTTCTGCTCTGTCTTCTATTTTTTCTTTTTTTTACTCTTTTTCTCTTTCTTTCCAGTTTTCTCTTTTCTTTGTTTTCTTCTTCTTCCTTTAGTTTTCTTTTGCTTTCATTTTTCTCTAATTCATTCTATAGTTCTGTCTTTTCTTCATTTTCTGTCATATTCTTCTTTCTTTGTTTCCTACTTTCTTTAGTTTTCTTTCCTTAGTTCACTGTTTCTCTTACTTTTCTCTCATTCTCTTTTGCTTTCATTTTCTCTAGTTCTTTCTTTCTTTCTTTCTTTCTTTCTTTCTTTCTTTTTTCTTTCCCTTTTATCTCGTTTTGGAACTAATTTTACATTTGGTTTTCATTTTCTGTTAGTTCCGCTTCTCTCCAATTTTCTTTCTTTCTTTCTTTCTTTCTTTCTTTAATATTATTTTATACTTCTTTCTCTTTTTACATTCTTTCTTACTTTCTTTCTTTTACTTTCTTTCTTTCTCTTTTTGATTAATATAATTTCATACTTCTTTCTCCTTTTTACTTTCTTTCTTTCTTTCTTTCATTATTATAATTTTATACTTCTTTCTCCTTTTCTTTCTTTCTTTCATTGTTATGATTTATATTTCTTTCTCCTTTTTAATTTCTTTCTTTTTTCTTTCTTTCTTACTTTCTTTCATTAATATAATGTAATACTTCTTTTCTCCTTTTTACTTACCTTCTTTCTTTCTTTCATTAATAAAATATACTTCTTTCTCCTTTTTACTTTCTTTCTTTCTTTCATTATTATAATTTTATACTTCTTTCTCCTTTTTACTTTCTTTCTTTCTTTTTTACTTTCTTTCTTTCATTATCATAATTTTATACTTATTTCTCCTTTTTACTTGCCTTCTTTCTTATTTTTTCTTTCTTTCTTTTTTTGTTCATTAATATAATTTTGTACTTCTTTCTCATTTTTCTTTCTTTCTTTCTTTAATATAATTTTATACTTCTTTCTCCTTTTTAATTTTTTCTTCCCTTCTTTCTTTTTTATTATAATTTTACACTTGTTTTTTTTCTTTTCCGTTTTTCTTTTACTCATGTCTTCTTACCATTGTTCGACGGCGAGTTTCTCGAGAAGTTATTTTTAAATTTCCTTTATTCTGTTATTATTGTCTTTTTCTCCATCTTTCTCATCCACTTCCCACTCTATTCATTCATCATTTTCTCTTTCTCTCACCTCTGATACATTGTTTATCTTTTTCTCTATCTACATATCCTTATTTATATTTACGGCTCTACTTTGTTCTTTCTCTCTTTTCTTTTTTTTTTCTCATTGTCAAATTGCATTTTCAAGTTCATATTCTCTTTCTCTCTCTTCCTCGTACTCTCATTTTCCATATGTCTTATTTAACTTTCTTTCTTCAGGCTTCACCATTATCATTCTTCCTCTCACATAAGCGATTTTCTATCCGTTTTTTTTTCTAACCAGTCTTTTCTTTTTTTTTTCTAATATTTTTCTCTTCAACTACATTTAACAGTATTTATCACTATATTCGTTTCTTTTCTTATATTACTCCTCTCTCTCTCTCTCTCTCTCTCTCTCTCTCTATCTATCTATCTATCTATCTATCTCTCTTTTCTCTACGCGCATCTTTTAGTCTTTTTCTCT